TGAAACAAGTTCTGTTTTCTCCAGATAGGAGTATAACTGGTGAACCAGCCGAAGTTGGAAAAAAGCACTTCTGAGCACTGCCGCAACTGGGGCTACTCAGTAAGCTTAGAGAGCACAAGCATTTCCAAGTTGCAAATGTAGTCCTTCAGGGGAACAAAACTCCATTCAGGGCCATTTGTAGTCTCCATCTTTCCCCGCCAACTGCACCTCTGTCTTGTTTGGATTAAGTCTAGCTTATTCTCCCTCATCTAGCCACAAGCTGTCTCAAGACACCAGTTAAGATCTCACATTGGTCCCAAAGTCCGGAGGAGCTTTGTTGGACTGGTCATAGATAGGGAAAAGACCAGGAGGCAGCAAAAAATAGGGTTGGTTATAGATGCTATATACAGTGAGAAATAGGAACATAGGGTGGAGGAGAAGGAAGCGTGAATTGCATGTGAGGGGAATTCTGCCACTTGTGACTTTTGCTGTCACTTCAACATTGTGTTTTCTCAAATCTAAGGGAGTAATGGGACCGTGAAGCAGTAAAATATGTGGGGAATGCAAGCTGCATTCCCACCCCCCATATTTATTAGAAATCATTTGCAAATTCCTCAGTGTCTTACTTCCAGTATGTTTTATATTATTTTACGCCAAGCTTGCAGCCATAATGTGTCAGTAAGGTGTGCCACGCTTGACAAACCATCAGTTGAACAAACAAGGAGCCACCCCAAAACAGAAAATATTATACTTTGCGTGTCGAGGTCCCCAGGGCCACCCCAATAACTCACACATCACACAGAATTTTTTTGTTTAAGATTTTTGGCATAATTTTGGCCACAACTTTATTGAAATACAAATTTGTGAGTGGTTGCTTAGGCATTGGTTGCGACTATCTGCCCCCACCATGGGGGACAGACTGACATTCCACACAATGCGAAAGTCAGAATAGGGGAATACACTTGGGGGTTATGCGGAGCAGGGAACCTGCCCTCACCCCAAATGCAACCAGGAGCTCATTGCTATGGCCTGAGCCCCCTTGACAGAGTGGACAAGCAATAGTTAGCCCCCAATTCCTTTAACGGAATCCCTTGCAGCAGCAGCATTAGAGGGGCAGGCACTCCAGCCTACCAAGGGCAGGCACTCAGCCACTGCCCCTCAACCAACCAAACCATAAACCAGTGCCTAACCGCAACCTTACAAGTTGTGACAATTTGCTACGCAGTAGGCAAAAACCAAATGGCCCCAGCCAATCAGTCAGATGGACAAAATTCCTACCAGGCCCCTGCCCCAAGAGCAGACGACCCCATGACAGGCATAGCAAGGTCAAAGCGAACAACCCTAATTCTAGGGAGGGGAGGACGGGCAATCCGATGCACGGTCGAAAAGAGGAAGCCCTAGCCTCGTGCAAGGAGTTTTAGCGTTTCTGGCTGTCAATCAACAAATGGCAACATTAACTTATTCCCAACAACAAGGGAAGCCCCAATCGCATCAGTGGCCAACGAACAATTAGCCCGCCCCCAACTTTGGAGTGTCCTGGCGGCCCCCACCGCAATACGTGCTCTCCATGAAGGAGAACACGCTTTGCCTGCAGCTGATAGTTCAGCCAAAAGTGTTTCGGTCAGACTGAGAACATCTGCCAGCTTGTATTTTGTTTAGCTTAGCTAGATCTACAATTGATTGTTATGTATTTACCCCTTGCCCCACCATTTTGTTTTATAACACTGAACCATAATGAAAACGACATTCAAACTCCTGTAATTGCCAAGTTTGTTAGTGTTTGATGGGTGCTTCCCTTTTTGCTCATTTTTGTAGTAGCTAGAAAGATGCACTAGAGGCACATACTCTAATTACTTGGGCAAAAGCCAGGATTACTTGTAAACATGTGTCTTCATCTTCTTTTTTGAAGCATTTACTATCACCAAAATAACTGTATTTTGTGTTAAACACAGGTAGCAGGGGACTATGTGGTCTGTGCTGCTTGAATTAGTAACAGCATATCAACCAGCTGGACTAAGAGGAGGGAAAAGACTAGAAGGAAGGGAACAACAGGCACAATATCCTGGATGTAAAATTATTACTGCAGGATTGTGTAGTTTTCTACTCCCTTGGCCTCTTTCTAGTTTTAAGCACTAATTTTTTCTACTGCTACATTCTTGTTTAAGTATGATACAGAAAGCAAAAACATGTGTACCTTAAACCAGGCTTCTCAATATATACTTAAAGGCTACTGGCCCCTACAACATTTTATTGTATCTTACGGCTGTTGGCTTTTAAAACAAGTAATACATGTGGAGGCTTGTGAAAAGTCATCAGAATATTCGTTATAAATGCAGGCTGCTTGCTTCTTTGCACCCATTCCCATAGATTGTACATGGGCCATTGTGTTCCTAGGTACTTTCTGCTGATAGTTAACAAGAGAATCCAAATAAAATTGTGAGCATTTCATTGCAACTCAACAGCTCAGCCAGTGACTAGGTCTAGGACATTTCAATATGCTGAAGCCAGGGTAAGGTCTAAAAGTTCTGTCATTTTAATCTAATTCATATATCTACCACTATGGCAAGTGCCCCAGTATGGAATTCACACGGAAAATATACACTCATAATAGACTAATGTCTAATGTAGACTGCCTTGCTTCGAGAAAATGTGCTGTTATAATTAGCAAATCTTGCTCATCAAGTTACATTTGCTTATACAGTACTGAATTGCATTTGCCATTCTACTGCCCATTCCCCATATCTCATAATAATGTACAATAAGAAAAATAAATAAGAATCATGAAACTGAATTTTATTCTTCATATTACATGTGAGTAAGTCCCACTTGAGTAAACATATAAAGGATTGAGCTATAATGTATGCCCAAAGGAATTGTGAGCAGCCTAGTGCCTCATCAAAGACTCCTTGAGTTCAGCTTAGCAGTGGTGAGATAACAGGAAAGGTCCTCTTGTGGATCAGTAACTAGTTAAGGAACAGGAAACAAAGGATAGGAATAAATAAACCATATCTCCAATCTGCAATAGCAGATTGTGAATAGCACGGACAATATTGTCAGAATGTAGTTCACACGTGATATTCCAATCTATTTGGACTAAGGACTAAGCTATGGCCCTCCTTGTCATATTGAGATTTCGGACCATCAAATCCATGGTCTCTAATTTCATTAATTTGGTCAGCTAACGTTGCTGCCTCCTGTATAGTTTTGGGATGTCACTCTGTCACCAGATATTTCAGTTCCCTATTTATGGCCGCTTAAAATTGCTCTAGCGCCACAACTTCCTTGATTTTCTGGTCTGAATCTGCACCCTCTTGCTCTAACCACTTTGTGAGGTAATTTGAAATTTTGCCTCCAAGTTGAGCATACGTTTCTTCTCTTAGCTTTGTCACCCTTCTGAACTTTCCCTTAGCTGCTCTAAGGTGATTCCAAATCGTTTGTAGATTTATTGTTTAAACACGTCAAAGTTTCTGGACTGGTCTTCTGGCATTTGTGCATATATTTCTGCTCAGGTTCCACTAATTCTAGCCCTTAATATTACCATTTTTTCCTCATCCTTTACTTGGAAATCATTGCATGCTCTTTCAAACGAGATGAGGAAAGCCTCTGGATTATCTTTCTCTTTGCATTCAGGGAAACGCTTGAGATCTACCCTAAACTGGCTTTGGTCATTTGCACTATTGTTTTGGTTTTCCCCAGCTGCCAGTTCCAGTCTCTGCATTTCTAACTGGAATTGCATCTCTTTTCCCCTCAGATGGTACTGCTCCCTTTCTTGTTCAGCTTTAATGGTATCTCTTTCTAATTTAAATTTGTATTCCTGTTCCAATTTCCATTTTTCAAATTCTAAAGAGAGTTTAGGCTCTACTGCTTCAGAGGGAATTTATAATATTTCTTCTAAAATCTGTCCCTCTTGCTAAGGATTCCCATTCCCCGCCCCCCGCCCCCCCCATTCAGAGCTTTCATATGGTGTTTCCCTAACAGGATTTCTAGGCTTTTTTGGGTGGCATTTTGAGTGAGTGTGATTTGACAGCAATTCCCTCTGGCTATGTTTCCTTTTAGACTCTGGCCCAGAAGTCCTGCACTGGGTCTTCACACTGACCCTGCAAGCTCACTTCACCCAGCCACAAGTCTAAACCTCTGCCAGTATAGCTTCAAGTTCTCTTTTCGATTTATTACTTTGGCCTCACTTCACACACTGGGTTTTCCACAACTACACCAGTATATCTTCTCATCCAGGACAAGGTGGTCATCCCTAGATCTACCTTTCCCCTCATGGGTGTATTTATCCCACCTCTGTGACCAATTTTGTGGTGTTCGTACTGAGCCGCCAGTCATTTCACAGACTATTGACCTGTACACCACTGCTGTATTCTTCCGCTGCCACCAACCAGGTTTCTTCTGGTGAAATACTGAGTCTCAGCCAGGTTGTAAAGTCAACAACGAAGATTAAAGTTTATTGAAGAACAAACAAGTTTTAAATATATTCAGAATGGTTCCTCAAATGCGCGCCCTTAACCAGATGTAGCTCTATCTCACAGTCACACTCTTCTCTCTCAGTTCTATCCCTGTCTCTCACTCTATCTGTCACAACCGCTATGTTCGTCTTTTACTGGCTCTGTCTAACTCTGACTCCTCTATCTCCCAATGGTAAAATCCCTGGGCTGAGCTTCAAAACCAGGTAGGCTCTGCCTCTGAGCTTTCTTATTGGTCAATCTACATTAACCACTTCCATCCCCCTGTACAAACAAAATCTCAAGGAATGGGCAAACGCCACATCGACCAGCAGGAAGGAAATGCTTTGAGTAAGGGCACTACATAAGAAGAGTGCTGCTGCATTAGACCAAAGACCCATCTAGTCCACCATCCTGTTTGCACAGTGATCAGCCAGATGCCTATAGGAAGACGGCAAGCAGCACAGCAGTACAGCTGCACTTATCCCACTTGTGATTTCCAGCAACTCGCATTCAGAGGCATATTGCTTCTGGGAATTGTCAATTTTCACTGCCTGTGATAGCTGAAATATCATTTGTCCTCATTTTGAAGTGACCTCGCTAATGTCATTTTTGTCTGAAATATTACCTTGAGCTGCAAACATATACACCCTTTGCTGGGCATATGTCTCATTAAGCTAAGTGGGGCATACGTCTGAGTAGACTCGTATGAGTTTGCTCTGTAGGTGTTCCTAATTGTAAAAAGATTATAACTAGTTGTTTTCTTTTTGAAGGCTCTATTATCAGGTAACATTTGGGATAATATGAGGTGATATCTGTCTTTTTATCACAAAAACATCTCATATAAGACTGTCTCAAACTGAAGGCAAAGGGTGCAGAGAGCCAGTGTGGTGTAGTGGTTGAGAGCGGTAGTCTCGTAATCTGGGGAACTGGGTTCGCGTCTCCGCTCCTCCACATGCAGCTGCTGGGTGACCTTGGGCCAGTCACACTTCTTTGAAGTCTCTCAGCCCCACTCACCTCACAGAGTGTTTGTTGTGGGGTAGGAAGGGAAAGGAGAATGTTAGCCGCTTTGAGACTCCTTAAAGGGAGTGAAAGGCGGGATATCAAATCCAAACTCTTCTTCTTCTTCTTCTTCTTCTTCTTCTATGCACATTTGCAAGTCTCAATAAAGAGTCCTATTCTTCCTTTTTAGAAATAAGAATGAAGCCCCCTGCCCCCAAAATGAGATTCAGTACAGTACGACATTTTTTGACTTCCAGCTTCCTTAAATTAAACCACCTTCCTTTGTCATCACTCAAGCACCAGAAGAAGCAAAGGATTTCACAGGATCCAGGTCTCAGCTTAGTACTGTATTCAGATATGAATGTTGCCTGGATCTGACACAACTAAATGCTTATTGTCATCTTGGCTTCCTGATAAATTTGTTGATTTGAGGTATATCTGTTTGCTTTTCATTTTCTGACTTACCTTTTATTTTTATTTTACTGTGTACTTAGCTGAAACACAATGCTGGATTGCTGTTTGTCTTTGCCAAGGTTTAAACTGATCTGTTAGATTTTCACAGGAGAAACAACACAGTGAATAACTCAGATTTCCCTTAGCAATACTACCATATTGCATGTAAAATTTTATAGCATATGGACTGATTAGCATTCAGAAACTGGTGGTGGACATCTAGAATATAAAATACTTGCTGCAGTGGAACACATTCAAACATAATAATAATAGCAGTCCGTGGAATGAAGGATACAGAGAAGGAAAGTTCTATACAGTATTATAAAGCATTCAAGTGACACTGCTCGACTTTAGAGCAAGCAACTTGTAAAAGATTTTTAAATGGCACTCTGTGGCATCCACATAAAGAGTTCCAAGAACAATTATTTGGGTTGATCTTAATCTTATAAAAGGATAGAAGGTCAGAAGTTTAGCTGAAGTCAATTTGTTGTAACCCTAACCCTAACCCTTTAAAAACAAGGCCCCAGAGTTGCAGATTTCAAAGGGTGCTACAACAAAGTTATGCTTTCAGTTGCACACATAAGTTGTGTAAAGGTAGGGGAGATCATTTAGCCAGGCAAGCAGAAATGCACTGAAAGAAGTCTCTTAGCACTACATTGAATTGCACCCTAATTGATTTTAGTCTTCCTGCCATTCTTTGCATGCAGTAGAACTACTTTATCTTTGCTTAAAATGTAAATCTCTGGCTGTCTACCATGGTAAACACATGGTGCAACACTGAATTCCAGCTCACTTTTAGCACCCCATGCCTCCCTCCTACATTCTTTTGCTTGACAGTGATCATACTTTTACAGTGGTACCTCGGGTTACAGACTCTTCAGGTTACTGTTGGAGGCAAAGAACAAGATGGTGCCACTTCCCATGCCACATAGTGAAGCATATCAAACTGGCAACTAAATCTTATTTAAACACTGGCAACATAAAGTATCCTTCATTGTACCTGAGGGTAGCAAGCTAGCTTAGGCAGGGTTGCTCAGATCGCATGGTGGACATATATTTATTCTGTAGCACCTTACTGCGGTTTGCTCTCTGCTTGGCACCTGCCTTCTCAAACAGATGCTGCAATGAAGCAGTTCTTTCACCAGCACTCATCATGTGAGCAGAGCAACAGAATAACTACTAGACTGAAATCCCTGAATTGGCTACCTGTTTGCTCAGTCAGGGGCCCTTTACAAGTATGTTGTCTGCAACACATTGGGAGAAAGTCCATAGACAAGCTGGTCAGCCAACATGGAGTATTGTCCACATTGGCTCAGGGAAATAGGAATGGTTGATTGTGTGTGGAACACCTGAAGAAGAAAAAACCAATCAGTTTGCAACCTTCACTTCCACATTTTTACCTTCCTTGGTATGCACATTGCTGATAATTCATACACAGTTGAATTAAATAAATTTCAACTGTCATTTGCATACAGATGTGCTGTTCTTAGTCCAAACGCCCTCTCAGAGCTATTAGTGTCCTCAGAATCTGTCACATTTGGCTACATTTCTAGTTGAAATCCTATTAAATCCTGGGAGCCTGCAGGTCATAAAGCCAATCCCCTGCCAAAAGCAGGAGTTTATCCAAAGCTATTCTTGTAAAGGGTAATAAACCCTCATCTACACATACTTGGATATATGATTGGAAGTTACTTAAATGATCCAAAAGTCATTCCTTCTTAAAGGTCTGAATCCAAATGAAAGCAACAACATGCTTATGTACTCTGTTCCTAAAGATCTGCAGTGATAAATGTTTTATCACACATTTAGGAAGTTAGTTTCAGTACTGAAGCCTAACAAAGAGTTATTCTTAACTTTGAACGTAAATCATTACAGTTGCAATCTGAAACATTATTTCTTGTCTCTCTTCCCCATGGTAGGAAAGAAGAACAACCAGCCTTTATCCACTATAATAATACTTTCCTGTGATAGACAAGAGGAATTTAAAGTCGCCCTACTTCCTCCTGGCAATTCTAAGCTAAACTAATTATATTCCATCATTCTCTCCTCATTTTACATTAAAATGAATAACTATCCGCTTGCTTGATCAAGAATTTTTCTAATGAATGTTTTATTTGTCATATCATTGCAACTTACTACTACCAACTCCAGCATAGCATTTTCCCAAATGAAACTTGGTAAAGAAATTTATGATCTAGCATACCTACAAGTAACTGTGCCTTACCATTTTTCAGGACAGCTATTTTGCAATTTGTTCAGGAAAATTAGAGTATGCAATAATTCTCCATGGCTTATTAGTTTTTAACTTTCTCGTGGCAACAAGAAAAAAATCCCAGTGTACATCAAGATCTGGCAGTTTCCAGCAGTGACAGCTGTACTTAATGATTTTATTTTGTTCCTGAGTTTATGCCCAGTTTCCCAGTCCTTCCACATTTCACAACTATGTGCTAATCTACAGGGATTCTGTAGTTTTCTTGCATGTGCTGAAAACAAACTGAGGGTGAATACAAGAGGCGTATTTAGTGGTATTCTTCCACCAGAGAACCCCTTAAAACTTTTGTCTAACATCCACAGTTCTGATAACCTTAAACCTTCATTTTCTAAAATAAAGTATACTTTGATGTGGAGGAAGAAAATGGACAGTGTGTGGACAGTATTAAAGATGAGAAACCAACAGGGGTTTAGTTCCCAGGGACCAGGATTGTCCCGCTTACCTGACTATCTCCTACATTGCCATGAACCTTGTAGAGGTTGTATTGGAGGGACTGTCAGAGCTGGATATAGAATGGGAGGAGCTCAGAGAGTCAGAGGTACAGGACCCTGGGGAGGGGCAGAACAGGCTGTCAGATGAGCATCCCACCCCTATGACACTTAGCACCTCTAGTTCAGTTTTTCCAGCCTTAGAGACACCTCTGACACCACCTCTGGTCACAAAGGAGCCTCCCTCCTTCAGAGGAGAGGTCTAAGAGTAAGCCTGATGCCAAGAAGGCTCTGACTCCACCTGTCTCTCTAAGGATGTGTCACTGGCAGCAGTGGTACAAACAATCTTTGCATAGCCAGCCTACTCAAATGAATGCCCATTTGATTGCCCAGTCCCAGACACATGATGCTTGCTGCACAAGTGTCTGCCATACTTCAAAAGGAAGGTGCAGTGTGTGTGTGTGTGTATTCTTGGATCAGTATCTCAGCTCGTGCTTAGCCTTGTATTCTCAACTTTTGTAGACCTGCTGAAACTTGTAACCTGCATGCCTTCAAAAGGAAGCCAAACCCTGGTAAACACTGCCCTGGAACTTTTCACCACTTCAAAGTGGGGTACATGTAAGAACACACATGTGCACACTGACTAGAGGTGTGTGGCCAGTGTGCCTGCCTTCTGGCTTTCTTCCAAACCATATTTACCTGCTGAGGGTAAACATGGGTGGAAATAGTTATTGTTTAAGTTCGCAAGTTAAATTGCTACATCTATCACATCATATTGTTCACCTCGGTGGAATTGTAAATGTAAACTTACGTCCTGGAAGACGAGAAAATATGTAACTCTCAGTTAATTGGAAGAAGCAGCCCTGACTTCAGTACTGTCAGCATGATTTCAGTCTGGCGATATGATAATGATTATTATGTCAAATGCAATCAAGAATGCAAGCCTTGAACTGACAAGAGACTTAGTTACTTTTAAAAATGCATGATTTCATGTAATATGTGGTCTCTTAGTCTGTAGTAGCCAAAGCTGGGTACAAAAGGAAACTAACTTATCCTGAGGAAGAAATTGTGGTGTTGTTACTTATTTTTATACAGCATTTTACTTCCTGTAAGTTAACAGCTTAGTTTCTTTCTTTCTTTTTAATGCATTGGATAACCATTCACTTGGCTCTTTTTTTTAGTTACTGAACAGAAACGGAGATTGGACTAAACTTTATATGCTGCCTTTCCACAAAGGAAATAAGTGGCTTCCATTATACATAAATATATATTTAAAAAACAACAACATAAAAAATAAGCAAAATACGTACACCTAAGCATTTCAGTAACTACATTTCAATAAACAATTGTTTCAATAAACAATTCATTGAACCATCTTTTTATTTTAAAAAATTACCAAAATATCTGCATACATATGTATTAAAATCTTACATATTAAAATACAAAGAACAATCATAACAATCATTCCAGACATGGAAGTTGTAAAAACCTAACAAACTGTTATGGCAATCATAGTCACAAAAAACCTAAGAAGTTTGGTGGAACATGCTCCAACAAATACCAAGCTGTATAACACAGGCAACAGTACACCATAAGGAGAGAACAAGAGCATTACACTGAAGGTTGATTCACACAGTAAGTTCACAGTTTTCACACAGACTTTCACATGCACTTGCTTAGGACTGTGTTTGTAGCCAAGACTAAGTTCATGGGGTGTAGGCAAGCATGCTTATGTTGTACATAGTCTGTCACTGCACTTGGAGAGGTGAGGCCTCTGACTTAGTTAAGTCGGCACCCTCTCTCCTTTCCTGCTTCTCTGAACTGCAGCTCAGGGCTGTGGGGCTTTGGTGAGGCCAACTTGCCCCATCCACCCAAGAATTCTGGGGCCCCAGGGGTTGGTCATGTGGGAAAGCCTCCCTATTCACCTTCAGGGCTGCTTGCCCTTGACCTAGCAGGGGAGTGGTACCATTGCAAGCTTAGCCTGCTTTTTTACAGCATTTCCCATGACTGTGTTTTTCTCTGCAGGTTTTGTTTAAACTAAATAAAGTGCCCCGCCCCCCAGTTTAACACATTTATATATGCCTGTGCCTTAATTTATTTTTTATTTTTAATTTTTTTGTTCATACAAAACCAAAATAAAATAACTTTATATGAATAAAAGGAAAAAAGAAAAACTTACATTTTCATAAACATACAAAACATCTCAAAACTAAATAATACATAGAATGCATTTATTTCAGCCTTCAACTGCAGTCCGTTCCAATATAGTCACATAGAAATAGACTTTCAGGATAAACAGCCAAATTACAGAGGGATCGTGGGAATCACAAAAGTATAAACCTGCTTGGGGTTTCTAGGAGTCAATTCTCTCAGTGGTTACACGCTGTCTCTACTTCTCATATTGGTAGAGGCTTGCACATGAACACAAAATTCCACACTAGATTTGATGAACAAGATCTGTAGATAGGATCTCTTGCACATGGGCTCGATGGCATTGAGGGAGGAAGCTAATCTTGTCACCCTTTACCACTATCCTGTTAACTCCCAAACTGTCCTGCATAACAAAATATATAACTATCATGCAGGTAGTTGCAGATTTTGCCTGCAGGGCAAAAAACACAGGGAGGTTGATTTCAATCGGAAATCAGCCTGGGAAAAGGGGTAACCCTACCCTAGCACAAGTTGACTTGTTTTAAATATAGTTAATGTTAACACACCAAAACACAGTTATGTTAAAAGCAAATGCACCTGAACTCCTCCACCAGGCAGTGTGGGAGAATGAAAGGTCAGGGAGGTCATGAGAACCCAGGATGAAGTTAGACTTGTTCAGTTTATACTAAGCCATGCTTTAGTGGGGTGTCTGAACACAGCCAGTTTGCAATGTTGAAATTATGTGGTTTGAAAATAACATCTCTAGTTTAATCTCTTGGAGAGCATGAGTATGCACTTCATATCCGACTCTTTGCCCAAAGATGATGCTTTGAAGAATATATTGATTAGGAACATGCCCAGCCCTGCTATTCAGCAAGCTAAAACAACCTGTTTCAAACCAGCACCATAGGAGGAGGATAGACAAAACCAGGAATTAATGTCTAAAGGGTGCAGACTTTTTAAGCAGTTAGTATGCTCTAGTGGGAGTGTAAGAGGCATTTTGACTCAACCTCAGGCAGCAAAATGTCTTGGGACAGCACTTGTGGGACAGCTAAAGCATGGCTGGTGCACAGGAAGTTCTAAACAAGTTTCTTTTGAACAATATTCTGATAATGTTTTCATTCATAGTGTCTCTATATAGTCGCATCATCCTTGAGCTCTGTATACAACTCTCATCATCCCTGAGCTCTGGCCTTGCTAGCTAGGGGTGATGGGAGTTGTAGTTCAACAACATCTGGGGACCCACAGGTTGAGAAAGGCTAGTTCCTAGCACACATTTACAAATACTAATTTGAAATTGTCGTCTTAGTTTTATTACTACTCATCATTGCATAGTTCCTTCATTTGAATCCTAACAATTCTTTTTTAAAAAAATGAAAGCTGGAAACTGCCCTGTTCTTTTGAATAATAGTCAAGAATACTAATACAAGGCCACCAAGCTGAGTCTCTAGAGAAGGCAATTTTAAATGAAAACTGCTAACAGTTTAATACTGTGAGTCTTAATTGGTCTCATGTAATGTTATCCGTGCATTTCACTTTTATTAAATTTAGTTGTTTCTGCAGTAATTAAGAGTAAGAAAGCAGGTGCCTTTAAAACCTAATTATTTTGATAATCAGTTTACACTTAAGTGCCTTTGGTAGCCAGGATTTTATCTTAAATGAATTTTAACCAAGTAATTAATATACACATTTTGACAGCACTGTTGACTGCTATAAAATCTCAAAGGGGTTGTGCTTTTGGATGCAGCAAAGAATACAAACCCTCTCTTCTTAATAGGCCAGCGTTTCTTCCTCCGAAGATGAAACACCTTAGAATTGCTAATGTTTATGCACATTGCATTAAATAATTTTTATATAAATATGCCCTCCAGTTTATATGTTGCCAATGAAGCTCTCAGTCTCAAGCTCTGGAACTTGGCATGTTCTGGGAATTGGGATGGGAGATTTATTCACCACTTCTCTTTCCCTTATTACTTCTGTTAATAGTTCATTTTGATAAAACACCACCTTTTTGGAATTGACCTCAACTTGATTATGCTTCTGCCCCACCTAGATACCTTTGTCTGGCTCCCTCCTTCCCTTTGAAACTGGGCTGGCTGCTGAGTTCAAGCAGCTTTACCGAAGTTTTGTAGCACTTGGGTTCAGGAGTACTGTATACACACTGTTTCCAAACTGTAGGGGTTGCTGCATTCCTTCTCCAAAGGACTGACACCATGAGGAGCTACTCCCCTCCAAAGGCAGGCTTTGGATTTTACAAATATTTTGTAACACTAAATGGTTCCTACTTAGCAAACAGAGTCAGATTGTTCCACTGTTGCTACAACGCAACGGATGATATCCAATGTTAGCCATGATGGAGAAAATAATAATTTCATAAAGCTGTATTATTTTGATGACTGCCAGACCCTCCAAGTGCCCTATTTTCCAGGGACATTCCTGGATTTACAGAAGCCATCCTGGTTTCTGAGTTGATCTCAGAATGTCCTGCTCTTCCTTAGGACATCCCTGTTTCATCAGAGAAATGTTGGAGATGTGAGCCAAGAAAATAATTAACAATACAACCTTTAGAAGACATCTGAAGGCAGCCCTGTATAGGGAAGTTTTTAATGTTTAATGTTTTATTTTATATATATATATATATATATATATATATATATATATATATAATATTATTATATATGTTGGAAGCCACCTAGAGTGGCTGTGGCAACCCAGTCAGATGGGTGACGTATAAATAATAAAATGATGATGATGATGATGATGATGATGAAACAGGAAGTCCCTATTTTTATCAAAGAAACGTTAGAGGGTATGTGATTCCTTTTAAAAAATATTTTATTTTCAAATTTTACAATCACAATAATTCATAAATTCAGTGCTTTTCCAAAAAAGAAGCAATATAGACTCCCCCGCCCCGCCCCGCCCCGGATTCCAATCTTTTCCCACATAATTTCTTGCATCTCATTTTATCTCCAAACTCTTTGTTTTCTCTCTTGTTTATTGTAATTCCCAATTATTTAATTACATAAATGTTATATCAAACCTGCTAATGTTTTAATATGTTTACAGTGGTATTTTAAATAGTCTATAAATTTCTTCCATTCCTGCTCAAAATTTTTCTCATCTTGATCTCTGATCTTCGCGGTCATCTTTGCCATTTCAGCATAGTCCATCATCTTAATTATCCATTCTTCTTTTGTTGGTATCTTCTCCTGCTTCCAATTTTGGGCTGAGGTTATACGATTCCATTCTCGTTTCAACCTATAGCCTAGCTAAACTGAAAAGCCCTAAGCCTGCCTACCTTTTACAGTACGGAACTAGCTGCTTTTAGGTACTGTATGTAGTGAATGGTTGTTCTGGAACACTGAAAAGAATCAACTGTTAGAATCTATGATGGTCATTGTATGCATGAACAGAGAATTAGCTAGGCATTGCAATTGTGATTAATCTTGAATTGTTTTGTAGACAGATTAAAGAGGATATTGGAAGACATTTAATGAAAAGGAAAATTAGTCCAAGTCTTAATAAAGAAATACATTGAAAAATGATTACCGTATTGGCCTGAATATAAGCCTCACTTTTCCTCCAAATTCCAACCGTGAAAAGTTAAAGTGTGGCTTATATTTGCAACCTTATGGTATGCAGCCAGGTGTCCAGGGCAAACAGTGCCAGGAGTGCAGCAAAGGGGCGCCAGCCCTATGAGTAGTCCACCGTCCTCTCCCCCAAGGCTGGGAAGGGAGAGGGCAAGGCCATCGGCAACCCAGTATGCAGCCAGGAGCAGCGAGGAATGGAGCGGCTTATATTCAGGTATTTTTTCTTTTTTTCTCCCCCCCCCCCACAATTTTAAAGGTGCAGCTTATATTTGGGTTATATGTAATCACATTATATTATGATGAAGGCTGATCAGAAGAGCCAAATGATTTTGATTGGTTCAGGATGATGACACTGGGTTACAGTTGTTAAGATTGTTGTAAATCTTTTATTGGTGAATAGAAATCATGCACTTAATCTGGAAGTGTATAAAAAAACATTGCTTTGGATGTGATTCTTTGCAGCCTCATTATTTTTGAGGCTGTCCCTATGCACATTTGTGTTTCAAAAAAGGTCTGTATTTTCACTTGAAACCCGCAAACTTTTCTTTTGGGTTTCTGGAACGGATGCCTCCAGTCTAGGAAACCCTTTTAAATTTATCCAACAGTCATACACAAGTAACTTACATTAATTAATTTCAGTGATTCTACTCTGAGTGTAATTTTGTCTTATTTCCCCCGTCTCATCTGCAGCTTTTTTCAGTGTCTATTTCTGTAAGATTTAATTAACTGTTAGTGATGCTAACGTCAAAGTAAACTTCTTTCTTAAAAACAACAACTGATTATTCAATGGGAGCAATCCAAAGTCAGTGACAAGGATTTGGGGTTTGGTTATTTTAATCAGTTAGGCATCTATTTATTTTTATTTTCTGCTTTTAAAACTGATACAAAGATTTTATCTTTGTGTATCTGTAATGTTCCCCACAACTCAATAAAGAATAGCCACTTTGTTTCTGGTGGGAAAATAAGATTTATGCAAAGCACTGTCTGATCTTCCAGACCATAAAATATGTCCTGATATATTGCTACCCTTTTTTATTCACATTATTGGATTGCTCTTGTCATTCAAGATGTAAAGGGCTGGCACCCAAAACTGCTATCTATTTCAAGGTCTCGCAACAACAGTAGTTGAAATTCTTATTCAGCTTGCATTCTTACCTCAGTATTGTTTTAATTTAGTGTAAGATTGTTTTTCTTACATATTGTGATATCATTTTTCAACATATGTGAGTATACTGAATGTAATTTTGTTATGAGTATGCAAAATATTTGATTACTCTTGATCTATAATTCAGATATTATGTTTGTGCTCACCATTCATAAACTTAGAAAATGTTCCTCAGTAGCTAGTGAGGTATGTGCCAAAATCTGTTGTTACATTGTTGCAATTTAAGGAAGGTATCGTGTGTTTT